CTCATTCTGTAAACCAGGCTGGCCTTGAACTCAGAGATCTGCCTGTCTCTGCCTTCAAAGTGCTGGGATTAAAGATGTGAACCACCATACCTGGCTGACAAGGGAGAGTTTTCAATGGCATGAGAATGATACATATTTAGTAAAACTGTACTTTGAGTTTGGGTCCGCTCCTAGGCTGGTGAGACTATGACACTGGACACCAGGGGCAGTGTCAGTTGAACTCCACTCTGGTCAGCTCCAGAGTCACAGTGGGAATAATGGACACTGTTGTAGTTAGGCACTTTTGACTTACACATTTTATTCTTCAATGGTCTCTCATCAGCTATAAACCCAACCAAAGTCAAGAAGTACATCTATGCTGGGTGTGGTGGCACACGCCTTTAATCCCAGCACTTGGGAGGCAGAGGCAGGTGGATATTTGAGTTGGAGGCCAGCTTGGCCTACAGAGTGAGTTCGAGGACAGCCAATGCTACACAGACAAACCTTGTCTTGAAAAACAGAAAACAAAACAAAAAAGGGTATCTAAAGATACATGCCAAACCCTTACATACACACACACACACAAAGTACTGCCTAAAATCTGTCAAAGCCTTACAAAATAGAAGGCCTGTGCTATGCATGCTGTTTCATTTGTTTTGATAAGAGGTGAAGTCACTGTGTAGCTGAGCATGACCTTAACTCCTATGTCTACGTCCAAGTGCTAGGATCACAGGTGGCTGCTACTATACTTAGCTTGTGTGCTTTAATTCACTTAATTAATAGAGTTCCATGAAGTGGCACATATGAGTAAACTGAGACTCTTAGCTGCAGACAGTAGAATATGGCAGAGGTGGTCTAGGGCCACTAGGCCCCAGTTCTAATTAAGTATCTTTTTTCCTACCAATTCATAAAATTCTTTCCCCCTTGACAATATAAGCAGAGTGGTTTTGTCTTTGGGTTACATCTTAAAATACTCATCTATCTTTCTACTATAAAATTATGGCTTTTATGCAAAGTCATGCAGGGACACTTACTACTAAGGAAGGCTATCATAGTTATTTTTCAAAGCACAGACTACTTCTTTTGCAGTTTCCTTTTGCAGTGGTTGCCCTGGAATAAAAGGGTATCCCTACCCTTCTTACCTCTGTCCCCCCCTCCACATACCTACCTCAACAATGCCCTTATCTGACCTGGCTTGGTGCCAATGTCCAGTAAATTCCCTAGAAGAGACATTTTCCTGGGCCAAGGACAGTACTGAGAATACCACAGCAAAGCACTAGCTATACTGTCATGCCTCCTTCTGGTCCCCCCTAGACCAACACACCACCCATACCAAGAAAATAATAAGCTTCCTGAGGCTGACCAAGAGGTAACTCAAAGGTTGAGGAAGTGGCTCAAAGGTTAAGAGCACTGACTGCTTTTCCAGAGGTCCTGAGTTCAATTCCCAGCAACCATATGGTGGTTCACAACCATCAATAATGGTATCTGGTGCTTTCTTCTGGAATGTAGGTAGAAGAACAGTGTATACGTAATAAATAAGTCTTAAAAAAAAAAAAAAAAAAAAGAGGTAACTCAAGAGGCAAATACTGACGACTTATCACCAAGCTACTGAGGTGGCCACAAGCTCCCTACCTGCCAGCTCTGTCCCCAACACATTAAGAGCCCACAAGCAGATCCTTTCTGTTTATCTCTACATCCTAGGAGGAAGCCACCCTATAAAGAAGATCCCTCACTTCTAGAGCTACCTAACTAGCTGAAGCCTAAATATAATTTTGTAAAACATGTTAAGAGCTACCCCATCCGGAAACAGGGAAGTCAGTTGGCTTCGATGTTAACATTCAATTTATTTAAAGGGACTATGAACATGCGTATTACTGCAAGTTTCTTTCTGTCAAAAAATACAAGAATATAAAAAATAAATAGTACTAACTGAAGAAATTTCAAAAGCTGATAAGAGCCAGGCATGGTAACACATGCCTTTAATCTCAACAATGGCCAGCTTATTCTACATAGCAGTTTCCAAGACAGGCAGACCTGAGCTACACAATAAAGACCCTATTTCAAAAACAAGAGTTCAAAAGCAGCTATGGTTTTAGAATAAGCTTAATGGTACACTAGAATTTCAGAGAGAAATAACACCTCAGCCAGGTGGTAGTGGTGCGAACCTTTAATCCCAGCACTCAAAGGTAGAGGATGGCAGATCTCTGTGAGTTCCAGGCCAGTCAGGTCTATAAAGCATGTTCTAGGACAGCAGTGCTTCATAGAGAAACCCTGTCTCAAAATCCCCCGCCACCCCCTCAGGCCAAAAAAACAAAGAAAAAGAAAGAGAGAGAGAGAGAGAGAGAGAGAGAGAGAGAAAGAAAAAGAAAGAAAGAAAGAAAGAAAGAAAGAAAGAAAGAAAGAAAGAAAGAAAGAAAGAAAGAAAGAAAGAAGAAAACATCAAATTTTTTCCTAGGGCCAAGGAAAACACCAAGCCTCCAAATCAAAGTCTCTGACATTTTCTGGTAATACTTCCCTGAGACTCTAAGAGAAAGGAGCACACCATGCTCTCCAGAGGGGCTTCAGGAGGCAGCTGTTTTAGAGACCCTCCCCCCAACTTAAGAGTTCTTTGGACAAGGACGTGAGCATAACAACCAACACAGAAGAACACTGAACCTCCACATTTAGTTCCTGGACTTCTGAGTAGGGTGAAGTGCTCAGATTCCAGGGTGGGCTCCCAGGATCACTGTGGCATAGGCCCTAAGCATGCCACAGCCTCAAACACACCCAATCTACACCCACAGAGTAAGTGTGCAGCCAACAGGAAGTACCTGCTTCTGACTCAGTGTCCCCATTGAGCACCTTTCAACTGTAGCCTGCAGCTGTCGGAGGACTCTGAAGCAGGGTTGGGGTGGCAAAGATGTTGTGACCACAAGTATCTATTTCGTTAGAAGGCATTTGGGACCCTTAAAGCTACATAACTTCATCTTTAAACCTATAAAAATATTTTTAGTTTATTATATTTTTCTTTCTTTCTGAGAAAGTCTCAAGATCATCCCATCTCAGCTTTCTGAGTGAGACCTGTATCATAACACCCAGAGCTGTTTCTCTTTCATTTGAGGCTAAGTCTCCCAGTTACCTAGGTTGGCCATGAACTCTGGGATCAAGCGATCCTTTTGCTTCAGCTTCTAGAGAAGCTAGGACTCCACAGTAGCTTAAAGCTTAGTTTACATAAGAAGTTGCAAGAACATATAAATATATATATTTATTTAAGAAAAAATTTGCAAGAGTGCCAATATGGAGACAAAATGCCAATATGGAGACAAAAGTCTATAATTTAGATTCTTGAAAAGTTGTAGCAGGAAGATCAACATATTTCTTGCCTACCTGGGCTAGAGTTTGTTCAAGGACAGCTTGGCAACTTAGTGAAGCCCTGCCTGAAATTTAAAAAAGTGAAAAGATAGATGAGAGAGGAAAAAAAAAAAAAAAGGCAGGATGTGGTGGCCCACACCTTTAACCCCAGCACCACCTAGGAGATGAAGGCAGAGACAGGCAGATCTCTAGGTTCAAGGCCAGCCTGGACCATACAGACTGTTACAAGCCAGACAGGGATACATACTGGGAACACATCCTTAAAACAAGTTTTGGACCTAGGGATAACTCAGTAGAAGGGGGCTAGGCTAGGCTAGTATGTACAAAACCACAAAAGGGAAAAAAATAAGTTGTTTCATGCACATATTTGGACTCAATGCCAAGCACTATTGTAACTAAAGAATATCCAGAATTATTTTTCCAGGTGCTCAGCGTTATGCTCATGCCTCATGCACATGCTCAGCATATGAACATGAGAAGTCTCAAGTTAGTACAGGGGAATATCAGAAAACGTCTTGCTCAAAAACCTGGAGCCTTGATTAAGTTAACCATTATACGTCGTATGGGAAGCGTATTTTAATTTTAACATGCCCTTTTCTTTCCCCACAAAGTCTACAGTACAAGATTCAGACTGTTTTGCCTCTTTCTGAAGTAAAGTTCTCTCAGAATATTATATTTTTTCATGCTTTGTTTGGTAAACACAGCAACTTTTTATTTTGAGATAGGATCTTGTTCTATAGCCCAACCTAGCCTCAAACTACGTAGCTCACGCTGTCCTCAAACTTGCAGCAATCTTTCTGCTTCAGGACCCAAAGGCTAAGATTACAGACATGAGCCACTAAGCCAGGTAATAAATCTCCAAGAGCCACAGAAACATCAAAGAGCCTCAATGTGTCAGTGTGCACAGAGCCCTGTGAGGAAGCAGCTGGGCAGCCTACAGTCGAGCATCAGCACCCTCTAGTTTCCATGTCGTCTCTACGCTCCACTGTTTAATTGTGTCTGTCTCTAGACCAGTGGTTCTCAGTCTTCCTAACACTGCCACCCTTTAATACAGCTCCTCACGATTTGCTTCAAGATGTGGACTTCCAACCAAGAATTATCTCCTTGCTACTTCATAACTCATTTTGTTATGAATTATAATGTAAACATCTATGTTTTCCAATGGTCTTAGGCAACCCTGTGAAAGGATTGGTTAACCCCCCAAAGGGGTCACGACCTATAGGTTGAGAACCACTGCTCTAGACTCTCCAGTGGGTAGAAGAAAGGGAACTGAGGTCTCCACTGAGCTGATGTCCCACGTCTTTAATCCCAGCACTCAGGAGACAGAGGAAGGCACATCTCTGTGAGTTCAAGGTTAGCCTTATCTACTTAGTGAATTCCAGGCTAGCCAGGGCTATATAGTGAAACCGGGTCTCAAATTTAACAAAACAAAACAAAAACAACAAACAAACAAACAAAAGGAAAAAGAAAGAAAAGAAAAAGGTAAACTGACTTCTTATAAAGAAGAAAAAACTGATGTAGGCACCACAGGTGTATATGCCGGAACACATGTGCTGGCCCTGTTTCACCTAAAACACACCCTACAAGGTGGGGGATCAGAGTGACAACCAGTCACAAATCACACCCACCAAATGACCACCCTGGCTCTTTAAGGGTCAGCCATGGGATACAGTTCTTTGTCTTTCCTGAGGAGATCATTGTACATCTGGTCATATGTGGTTTTGAAGTCGTAAACATTGGGCTTGTCAGGTGCTGGTCCTGGGAGCTTCACATGAGTTCCTGTTCCAAAGGAGCGGACACTGAAACCCCGTTTGCTGAAAGACACAAAAAAACAAAACAAAACAAAAATCAAAGATTAAAACACAAAGTTTTTATACAAACAAATGAATAGCCTATTTTTCTTTTAAAATTTTATCTTTCTCTTTCTTTCTTCTTTCTTTCTTTCTCTTTCTTTCTTTCATGTATATGTCTCTGCTTCAATCATGTGGTCTCGGGTGATCAGACTTGGCAGCAAGTGCCTTTACTCGCAGAACCATCTCAACAACCCCATTTTAGGCGGGCAAGATGACTCAGTGGGTAAATTCACGTGCTGTGTTAAGGCAATGGCTGAAATCCAATCCCTGGAATTATGAAAGCAGAGAATCAGCTCTTGTCAGTTGTTCTATGGCCTCAACATGTACACTGTGCACGTCCCCATCAGCTCACTTTTCGTGCTTCCATAGACAGCATACACACAAAATAAAATTTAAAGAAAACAGGAAGAGAATATAGAGTTTCTAAGAACACGCTCTCAGGTTTCTGCTTTCTAGTGCATGGGTACGGAGGCTTCCATAGTATGCACGTGCTTATGCACACGAAAGCCTCATCCTCCTCAGGTCCTCTCCCCCCTTCCCCTCTGAGAATCTCAAGTTCAGTTTCTCTGGACTGGCTGACCAGAGAACTTTAGGGATCCACGTGTCCTCTTAACCAACACTCCTACCCTAGTGTTAGGGTTTTACACACACACACACACACACACACACACACACACACACACACACACA